CAGCTGGGAACCGGACGAATTTCGAATCACCTATGGCCGGCGTATCAGTATATGGCAAAGTGAGCAGAGGGATCAAAATTTTGCTGGGAACCGGACAAATTTCGATTCACCTATGGCCGGAGTATCAGTATATGGCAAAGTGAGCAGAGGGATCAAAATTCAGCTGGGAACAGGACGAATTTCGAATCACCTATGGCTGGCGTATCAGTATATGGCAAAGTGAGCAGAGGGATCAAAATTCAGCTGGAACCGGACAAATTTTGATTCATCCACAGCTGGCGTATCAGTATATGGCAAAGTGAGCAGACAGATTGAAAATCAGCTGGCAACCGGACGAATTTCGATTAGTTTATGGTCAGCCTAACAGTATATGGCACAGCGTGCAACAGAAAGTAACCAAGAGCAACAGGCTAAAATCTATGGTGGCTATGCATGGAACAAATGTATATATTACTATTATACAGGATTTATATAATGCCAACAGTTTGCGCAGCGCTTTACAATAAATGACTGCATCGTCAATCAATTTGCTGTCCAGGAAAACAAAAAAAACGATCGGAAAATCAAAAAGATGATTAATAATGCCATTACACAAGTACTAAGTGTTCTTGTCAATCGCTTGAAGTGTCATACACTTCCCGATCATATCAATCTACTTTCCTACAACTGGATTCCCTGTCCAGACCGATCAGAATCATTTCAATGAAAATCGATTAGTCTTGCTGAAAATCTTTCAGGGCTCGTTCACACCATAGTGCAGAGACATCAGTTTTTCTGCAAAGGCACAACGAAATCAACTGTTCTCTATGTGCCCTGTTCACACCAAAAACACTGGTATCATGTGCAGATTTTTGCTCTGTGCAGGAAGCTGCAATTATTATTATCAGACAGGATTTATATAGCAGCAACAGTCTGCGCAGCGCTCTACAAAATGAAGGTAGACATTACTCCTAGATTGTAAGCTCCAAGGAGCAGTGCCCTCCTAACCCTCTTGTATTGAACTGTATTGTAAAGCGCTGAGCAAACTGTTGTTCTATATAAATCCTGTATAATAATAAATAATAATAATTACAGTTACAATTTGGTACAAGAGGAAACAGAGGGCCCTCTGAGAGATGTGTATTAAACTCATTAAAGCGCGCATGAAAACTGATGCAAGTGAAATCTGTGCATCAGTTTCCATTCGTTTTCATGCACATATAGTGTAAACAAGCCCTCAAAGCCTTTAAATAATTAATAGCTTTCAGATTATGGCCACCATAAGGAAGGTTCACTTCTCACCAGTTACTATCGGTTGTAGCACGTTTCGTATCGCTGTCGCTCATTACACTGCGTCAGTGCATTCTATACTGCACGAGTCCTACAGAAAGGAATGGTCATGTCAATTGAGATGGTCATGGTGGTAAAGGACACCTACCTCCTCCTCTGGAAGGCTGATGTCATCAGGACAGCTCTCTTTGTCAGTTAGGTTGCTGTTCATCGTGACCTCCTGAGTGACTGCGTGCTGCCTGCACTGATGAGTCTGCCCAGCACACAACTGGCAGCTAGGGAGTGAAAAGTTACAAGTCAGTAAACTGGAAGAAATCAAGGATCTCCTGGAGTTCCAATGGGAGAATAGTCAGGTTATCCTGGTAGAGTGAAGCAGTGCTGCAGATGGTCTGTGATAGAGATAAGGAGGAAAAGCATGAGAGAGCAGGGGAAGGGAGGGAAGGGGAAATGTTCTTGACTGTTGGTGATTAGGGTTAGATCCAGCCTCAGCTTTCTCTCTGGAGGGAGGGACTCAAGTCAACTTCACAGCTAGCAACTAACTCCCAGTTTTCTGGGTGGGAGGGACGGCTTATAGAAGACATGGAAGGAGGGGGAGTAAAAAAAAAAAAAAAAATCAGTATCACTTCCAATTACTTAGTTACAAAAAAAAAAAAAAAAGAAAGAAAGAGAGGGTTTGAAAAAAAATGATGTTTTCCAGAAAGGGTCAAGAGGCGAAATACAGTGAGATAGAACGAAGTCATGGAGTGAGGAGGAGATAAGACAAGTTTACAAGCTGTATGGAGACAGAAGTCTGTTCAGCTGATCATACACCAGCAGATCGACTGCAGATTCCACAACACGTTGGCTGTAATGATCACAGGGCTTGCTAGGCTGTTGCAGCATTTCTAGATTTTTTTTAATTCCTTATTTAGGTGTGAAACTAAACAAAAATGCAACTTTTTGCTTTCAAAAAAGTCCCTGACACTTTCCAAAAAACAAACCGGGTGAAAACACACAGGTGTGAACACGTCCCTTAGGAAATCATGTTAAATGGACTGTAGTGTGTTTCTGCAAAATGTAGAAAACGCTTAGGGGTCAACCTAGGATTAGCCCTGGATCACACTGGATCTGACTTTGAAATTGTGCGACTTCAAGTGAAGTCGCACGATTTCAAAGTGGCATGTCAGTGTGACTTGGCAGAGATCTGTGTGACTTCATACACAGATGTCTGTACAAGTCGCACCTGAGAAGGGCGCATCAAAGGGTTTGCAAGGCTGTTGCAGCATTTCTAGATTTTTTTTTTTAATTCTTTATTTATGACGCAAGAGTTGGTATAGACAGATTTCTCGGGTGCAGCCGGAGATAGCAACAAAGGCTGTTAGATATAGGCAGTCTAGGTTCACACCTATGCAGGTTGCGTTTGAGCCGTTTCTGCATTGCGTTTCGGCCGTGTTTTTGATACGCTTTGCAGGTTTGTTTTCTTTTTTAATTTTTCTTTTTGCTAGGCAGATTTAAAATGCAAAACGTGGCGAAAACGCAGCAAAAACGCAATGCATGCTTTTCTGCAGTATTTCCATTGAAGTCTAAAGAAACAAAAATGAAACTTTCAGTTCAAAAAAGTCCCTGACCCTTTCCAAAAAACGCACCGGGTGAAAAGGCACAGGTGTGTGCACAGTGGCTAAATGGTCAGCACTTCTGCCTGGCAGTACTAGGGTTGTTGGTTCGAATCCCAACCACGGCACCACATGCCCGGAGTTTGCATGTTCTCCCTGTGACTGCGTGGGTTTCCTCTGGGTACTCCGGTTTCCTCCCACACTCCAAAGACATGCTGGTAGGCTAATTGGATCCTATCTAAATTGGCCCTAGTATGTGTATGTATGAATGTGAGTTAGGCACCTTAGATTGTATGCCCCTTGAGGGTTAGGGACTGATGTGAATATACAATATATGTAAAGCAGTGCGTAAACTTGATGGCGCTATATCTGAAATAAATAAATAAATAGGTGTGAACATGTCCCATAGGAAATCATCATGAAAATCGCATGCCAAGTTGCACCTTACTGTCCGCACACTGATTTCTAAATAATGCACTACTTTTGGTGCGATTTGTATAAACATCTGTGTCAGATGTTCTGCAGATCGCATGTGAAAACCAGCATGTCCCCCGATTTCAAAGTCAATCTTGATGTGACCGGGGTTTAAGGCTAGCTTCACACCTATGCATTTTGCATTTGAGCCATTTTTGCATTGCAATTTGCGTTGCACATTTTTCCCATGTTTTTTATGCGCTTTTGCGGGGTTTTTTTTTTATTTTTTCTTGTTGCTAGGCAGATTTAAAATGCAAAAAGCATCAAAAACACAGCGAAAACGCAGCAAAAACGCAATGCATGCTTTTCTGCAGCGTTTCCATTGACGTCTATAGAAACTAAAAAAGCAACTTTTTGCGTTCAAAAAAGTCCCTGACACTTTCCAAAAAACAAACCGGGTGAAAAGCGCATAGGTGTGAACATGTCCCATATGAAATCATGTTAAATGGACTGTACTACGTTTCTGCAAAACGCAGAAAACGCACAGGTGTGAACATGTCCCATATGAAATCATGTTAAATGAACTGTACTACATTTCTGCAAAACGCAGAAAACGCTTAGGTGTGAACCTAGGGTTAGCCCTGGATCACACAAGATCCGACTTTGAAATTGTGCGACTTCAAGTGAAGTCGCACGATTTCAAAGTGGCATGTCAATGTGACTTCAGGGGGTGACTTGGCAGAGATCTGTGTGACTTCATGTACAGATGTCCGTGCGAGTTGCACCCGAAAAGGGCTCATCAAAGGGTTTTCTAGGCTGTTGCAGCATTTCTAGATTTTTTTTAAAATTCTTTGTTTAGAATGCAAGAGCAAGAATAGGTATAGGCAGAGATTTCCCGGGTGCAGCTGGAGATGGCAACAAAAGGCTGTTAGACATCGGCAATCTTAAAGCGGTATTAGCCCTGGTTCACACTGGATCTGACTTGTGCGACTTCCCTTGAAGTCACTTGATTTCAAAGCGTTATGTCAATGTGACTTCAGGTTTGACTTGGCAGGCATCTGTCCAACTTCATACACAGATGTCTATGCAAGTCGCACCTGAAATCGCAAAAAGTTGTGCAGGAACTAGTGTTGCCACTTCATCCCTTTAAAACCAAACACATATTAATTACACAAGTTCTGTGGCTGAGTAAGGTGGTGATTAAGCTCACTTAGTGCCTTATCTGCATTAAAGTAGCCCCAGAACCTGTGTAATTCATATGTGTTCGGTTTTAACCACTTGCCTACCAGGCACTTTTATCCCCTTCCTGCCCAGGCCAATTTTCAGCTTTCAGTGCTGTCGCACTTTGAATGACAATGCGCAGTCATGCAACGCTGCACCCAAAAAAAGTTTTATCATTTTCTTGAGACAGATAGAGCTTTCTTTTTGTGGTATTTAATCACCACTGGGTTTTTTTTATTTTTTGCTAAACAAACTAAAAAAAAAAAATTTGAAAAAAAAGTTTTTCCTTAGTTCCTGTGATAAAAGTTTGTAAATGAGTAATTTTTCTCCTTCACTAATGAGGCTGCAGTGATGGGCACTGATAGGCTGCACTGAGAGGCGGCACTGATGAGGAGGCACTGGTAGGTGGCACTGATGGGTATTGACAGGCATCACTGATTGGCACTGAAAGGCAGCACTCATATATAGCACTGATAGGCGGCACTGACTGGCACTGATAGGCGGCACTGATTGAAAATGTTATGGCATAGATGGGCATTGATAGGCGGCTCTGACTGGCACTGATAGGCGGCACTGTAAGGCAGCTCTGATGGGCACTAACAGGTGGCATTTATGGGCACTGACAGGTGGTACTGATGGGGCTACACTGATCATCAGGGCACTGTACTCCGCTGGGGGTGCAGTTGCGCAGTTAGTGGAAGGACGTCATATGACATCCTCCCACAACAAGAGAACCACCGACCGTCCCTCATATCCTTATATGGTGTGCAGGAAGCCGTTAGAGGGACGAGGTGGCAACCCTAGCAGGAACTAAACTGGTGACCAATGAAACCAATGTTCCATTTCGGACAAGAGGGTGCGACTTGAAACTGTCAAATCGCATGACAAGTATTGTTAGGTTTTTTTCTTTACTTTCACTTGGTGATCCACTACAAAAATGCACTCCAGATCAGTTCCGTATGCATTTCTGCATACACATTTTTGATGCATTCTGGTGCATATTTGATGCATTCGCGGATGCATTCCTGGTGCTTTTTTCTTTTTTGCTGTTTTGTTTCACTGTACTTGGGTCCAGTGCGTTTTTTATGCATTCCATTGCTTTTTTAAAGTGTTTTACCGCGTTTCAGTACAGTCCAGTGCAGGAAAAATGCAGAATACAGTGTTCCAGTGCAGGAAAAATGCAGCATACAGTGTTCCAGTGCAGGAAAAATGCAGCATACAGTGTTCCAGTGCAGGGAAAATGCAGCATACAGTGTTCCAGTGCAGGAAAAATGCAGCATACAGTGTTCCAGTGCAGGGAAAATGTAGCATACAGTGTTTCAATGCAGTCCAGTGCAGGAAAAATGCAGCATACAGTGTTCCAGTGCAGTACAAATGCAACATACAGTGTTTCAGTGCAGTCCAGTGCAGGAAAAATGCAGCATACAGTGTTTCAGTGCAGTCCAGTGCAGTGCAGCATACAGTGTTCCAGTGCAGGAAAAAATGCAGCATACTGTGTTCCAGTGCAGTCCAGTGCAGCATACAGTGTTCCAGTGCAGTCCAGTGGAGGAAAAATGCAGCATACAGTGTTCCAGTGCAGGAAAAGTGCAGCATACAGTGTTCCAGTGCAGGAAAAATGAGGCATACAGTGTTCCAGTGCAGGAAAAATGCAGCATGCAGTGTTCCAGTCCAGGGCAGGAAAAATGCAGAATGCAGTGTTCCAGTGTAGTCCAGTGCAGGAAAACTGAGGCATACAGTGTTCCAGTGCAGGAAAAATGCAGCATACAGTGTCCCAGTGCAGTCCAGTGCAGGAAAAATGAGGCAGTGTTCCAGTACAGCTAGTGCAGGAAAAATGCAGCATGTTCTAATTTTTTTATGGAATTGACTGCACTAGTGTGAACTATGCCATTGGAAGCCATATAACCTTCTTTCCATGTGTTTTTGATGCAGAAAAAAACGCAGTGGAGTGCATCTGGTGTGAACTGGCCCTAAGGCTTCATTTAGACTTGTGGTGGTGGGGGGGGGGGGGGGGGGTGAGGGAAATCATGTATGGTTGAGCCATGATTCTACCGCCCCCCCTTAAGCTGCAATAGGCATCTGATGGGGGTGTTTAAATACCGTCGCCAAGATGCGGCAAAGTTCACCCAACATGTAGCAATCGATAGGCAGCAAACCCACGGAACACTACACAGTCAAGCAAGTGGGGAAGTGCCACTAATATCCCACAACTGTGCGCAATGCACAGTAATGGTCGGCAAAAATGGGGTGAAAACAACTGGTAAGTAGGCGTCACATCACTTCCTCACCGTCTGTCAGTAGCCCGAAGTGCAATCTGAACGTGGATCAGGCTTCAGAGGAAAGGGAGATTTAGATGCACATCTAAATCTCCCCTTTGGGTGTCTCCACTGTGGATGGAGAAGCAATGTAGCCACCCTTGGACAGCAGAATTGTCAGTCTGGAGGGATGGTAGTATTAGATGAGCTAGCGGATTCTAGGTTCAAACCTATGCGTGTTGTGTACGTGTGTGACGGGAGTCACTTTGGGTGGGGGGCCCATGGAACACAGCTCACTTTGGAGAGGTGGGGAGACCCCTGTCTCAGCTCCCCATATCCCTCTTATGTGTAAGTCACCCTGTGCCTGTTAGGGGTGCAGGGTGATATGTCCTGATATTGTGTAGACATGTCTAGGAGATCGGTGGGGTGGGGGGTTGTTGATTGTTTAATGCCATGTGGTTGCATCCCATTGTTCTATTGTGTGTGTTGCTTGGGAGCAAACTATTATGGTATGTATGTGTTTGTGTGTATTAGCTTGGTGGGGGGTGTTTCCAGCAGCCCTCCCCCCTGATGGGATTGTCTGCTGGTGTCTCTCCTTACTGGGTGTGGATTGCCCTGCCCTGTGTAGGGAAAGGGAATTTTTCCCTTGAATGTATATATCTTGTATCTGTGTTAAAATAAAGCAGTCTATTTCCTGGTTTCCTTCCGAGACTGGTGTCGTCTAGTCTTGTATGGTCAGCAATGGTGTCTGTGGTCGGTGTTCGGACAGGGAAGCGGTATCCTAACGGAAGTACCCAAGTGCAGTTGGGATACAGTTCCATTACAATGTGCAAAATCGCAACAAGCAAAGAAACGCAGAACCATTTAGCTGATGCGTGGTTGTGCCCAGGGGCGGACTGACAACTCATGGGGCCCCGGGCAATAGGGGATCATGGGACCCCTGTGTCCTTGCCCAAACTCAAAAAAGCCTATGAAAAAGGTACCAGGGGCATCTCATGGGGCCCCCTACTGACCCCGGGCCCTCGAGCAGTGCCTGAGTTTCCAAATGGTCAGTCCGCCCCTGGTTGTGCCATTAATTGGTAATAGCACCCACATACGTATGCACATGCGGAAGCACCATGCAGTTTGGTGCGGCACATTTTTTGTGAAAGTCTGGGACTTCTTTTTTGTGTTTCCCGTGTATATGGCAGGCCAATTTAATGAAGGGGCTGCCCCACATTTGATGCGTGAAAAACGCACGGAAATGTGAAAGCACTTGGTTATACCTGCAGGTATGAACCAAGCCTTAGATGAACTTGACTGACAAATTAAAGCCAAACTCCAGCTAACACTTTATAAACAGTTACAGCAACAGTTTTTTTCTTTTGGGATAAAGGTTTTACATAAGTAAATACAAACTGATCATTGTAAGCACCCTTGTTAGTGCTAAATAATTTGTCTCAAAACTCTAAGTTCTCATGCACACTGGACATTTTTACAACTGTTGTTTTTGGCTTTTTATTTTTTTTTTCTACAGCCAGTAAACCCCCCAGCATGTTATCCAATGTGTCCATGCACACATAGACTGTAATCAACGTTTTTTGGCAGGGGCGTTTTTTGGCTGGGAAAAAAACCCAGAACTAGTGGGTTTCTAGAGGAGTTTTTTAGCTGTAAAAACGCTCTAACGCTGATAAACCCTGTAAATTGCGACAAACCAGCATTTTTTGGACTTTTTTTAGTAAAAAAAAATGCTACAAAACGCAAACATGGGGGGGGGCTTGCTATGGGGGCATGGAGCACGTAAAGCCATACATGGGTCGATTTTCGAACGATTTTTCGTTGGAAAATCGGACCTAAGAATAATCAGCAGATTTTCGCTCTGTTAGTGGGGCAATGGCACCGGGCGATTTTAGTGGTTCCTCCCCATTTCGTTTATCAGGCATGCTGGAAAATTCATGAAAAACCGATTTTTTAAATCATTGGTAGCACCATCGAATTACAGAACAAACAATATTTTCGATCGAAAAATCGTTTGTAATTCGACCCATGTATGGCCTGCTTAAGTATATGTTCATGTTCGTTATATAAAAAAAAGTTAATGTTGCGCCCTCCTAGGTAGCTAGGGGGATCCTAATGGTTAGTGAGGAGGTCTGAGTAGCAGCCTAGGTGCGATAGGCAGGTGGGTCAATTTTGGGTCAGAGCTGAGAGGCTCTGCAGACCAGTCCTCTGGAATTTCCCCTGTTCTAGAACTTTGGAGACAGGTCTAGAAGCAGTGGGTGGATTTGAGGAGTGGCTGGGCTGTACTCTTAGAGAACCCTGGCCAATCCCAGGAGACTTGGCAAGGGGCTAAGACAACCTTTAAGAGTAACTGAGGAGAGTGATTGGCAGAGAGTTGGAGTAGAGTGAGAAGAGAGAATGTGAGGCACCTGGTTGAAAAGAGTGGGAGTGGGTGTGGGTATCTGTCAGAAATATGTACCCTCTCCCTGAAAAAAAAAAAAACACAGTTTACAATCCAGGCACCTCCTTTTTTAACCGCCTCCTGCCTGCCATAGAAGGTAATGACGGGCGCAAGGCGGTTCTCTCGTTCTGTGGGGACGTCATATGGCGTCCTCCCATTCTTACCGCGCATGCACGGCTCCGGGAGCACGCAGCGCAGCAATCGGTGGTGCGCTGTGTCCTTTGGACACAGCAGATCACCGATCAACGGAAAGAGCCGAAGATGTCGGCTCGGTCATGTGATCAACTGTGTCCAAATCACAGCTGATCACATGTAAATAGGGAAATGCCGGTTATTTCTCTGCTCACGAGCTGTCATGCTGACAACTTGAGAGGAGAGGAGAGCCGGTAATCGGCTTTACTCAGAGGGGACATGTGCACTGATCATCAGGGCACTGATGATCAGTGTGCCCTGATGATCAGTGTAGCCCCAGCAGTGCCACCTGTCAGTGTCCATCCGTGCCAGCTGTCAGTGCTCATCCATGCCACCTGCCAGTGCACATCAGTGCCACATCAATGCCACATATCAGTGCCTACCAGTGCACATCAATGCCACATATCAGTGCCCATCTGAGCTGCCAGTCAGTGCCACCTATCAGTGCTGCCAGTCAGTGCCACCTGTCAGTGCCCATCAGTGCTGCCAGTCAGTGCCGCCTATCAGTGCCAGTCAGTGCTGCCTATCAGTGCCACCTATCTGCCGCCTTTCAGTGCCCATCAGTGATGCCTGTCAATGCCCATCAGTGCCACCTACCAGTGCCTCATCAGTGCCCATCAGTGCCACCTATCAGTGTCCATCAGTACAGCCTATCAGTGCCCATCACTGCAGCCTCATTAGTACACATCAGTGAAGGAAAACAAACTAAAAAATTTTATAACAAAAACTAAAACATTTTTTCTAAAATTTCAGTGGTTTTTGGTTTGTTTAGCAAACGAAAATCCCAGAGGTGATTCAATACCACCAAAAGAAAGCTCTATCTGTCTCAAAAAAATGATAAAAATTTCATATGGGTACAGTGTTGCATGACTGCGCAATTGTCATTCAAAGTGTGACAGCGCTGAAAGCTGAAAATTGGCCTGGGCAGGAAGGGAGTAAAAGTGCCCGGTAGGCTAGTGGTTAAATGACGTTCCCCTTTCTGCATGGTTTTGCATGTAAAGAGTACCTGAGCAGATGTGAAATGAATTGGCAGATGGGTGTGTTTGTCTGGTCAGGGGACAGGGTTCTTCTCTCACTAGCATTGTACTGCAGGAAGCAGCAGTGTGTGTACAGAAACAGTAGCAGAGTGTGTCTGTAATTAAGGTCTGCTGACTTTGAACACAGACTATTTCAAGAAAATCTATAATCACAGCATACACTTTCCTTTTTAACATCAGCAATGTAAAAGCAACACAAACCATAGTTACATTTGACAATCTAAGATAAGCATACCTGAAAAAAATCTCCTTTCACGTTGTGAGTTCTGCTTGTTTGTTGACCACAACTCTCCACAACTTCCTGAATTCCCAGCATACTTTGCAGCTTCTTCTCTTCATTTCTGAGGACTACATATCCCATGGTACCTTACTGATTCCTTTACTGACTCCGCCTCCTGCACCTCTGTAGATCAGAAGGCAGGCTCTGTGAAATGTGTGACACAGCAGTGCCTACTCCCAGCACATAGTGAATACGTGTCACAGGATTTAGGGAAGTAAATGTGTGTGCGGATCTTCACAAAGTACGTTTACAAAGTTCAGCTCAGAGTAATATAACTAGACTAGAAATAATGGAAATACAATGTGGAAATGAATATATGATTTAACATTTTGACCATAGATACAACTATTACCTGAAGGGAGAGAGTTTGGGTGTGTGCAGTCACTGAAGGGCTGAGCAATCCAGTTATCCAGGAGGCAATGCTTTGCGATGTATCCTGTGTGATACTGAAGCCCCAACATGGGAAAATTCTTGCAAGGAACTTTCCTTATAAATAAAAGTGGGTGGAAAAACCTTAGCCACTTCCTGTCTGGCCCATGTCAATAAACAGCTGGACGGGAGTGCTCCCGAAGCGTGTGGATGTTTCTAAACGTCCCCCCACATCCATTGCCTGTACGTGCTCCCTGGGAGCGCGCGCGGCACCGCGGTCTGGTGCCCGATGTGTCCTCAGACACAGCGGAACACAGATCGCTGTACGGAACCTCTGTGTGAGGTCCTGGGATTAGTACCACTTAACCTCTAGAAACATCCACCTGCATTGGCAGCACTCCTATCCGTCCGTTTATCGACATGGGCAGGACGGGAGTGCTGCCGATGCGGGTGGACGTTTCTAAACCTGCATCCATTGCATGTGTGTGCTCCCTGGGAGCATGCGGCACCACGATCTGGTGCCCACTGTGTCCTCCGGACACAGCGGAACACAGATCGCTGTACGGGACTTCTGTGTGAGGTCCCGATCATGTGATCACTGATTGGCCAATCAGTGATCACGCGAAATAGGTGTAAACAAGATGTCACTTCCTGACATCATTGCTTACTACTTATGAAATCAGTGAATGATCACAGAGGTCACATGGTACAACGCTATTCTTTTTTTACCAAAAAGACAGATGAATACATTTAGGCCAAGATTTATGAAGAAAGATTATTTATTTGCAAATTTGTATAAGAAAAAAAACACTTTTTTTCAAACTTTTTGGACTTTTTCATTTATATAGCGAAAAAATAAAAATCCCAGTGGTGAATAAATACCACCAAAATAAAGTTTTATCTGTCTCAAAAAAATGCTAAAAAAGTCATATGGGTACAGTGTTGCATGACCGCGCAATTGTCAAAGTGTGATAGCACTGAAAGCTGAAAATTGGCCTGGACAGGAAGGGGGTGAAAGTGTCCAGACTTGAAGTGGTTAAAGTAGGTCTAAAGGCAGAGTTTTTATTATACCTTCATGCATTCTATATCTGAAGGTAAAACACCATCCTTCTTATACTTAAAGTGGAGCTCAACCCAAAAAGGGAAGTTCCGCTTTAAAGGACTGGTCCCCCGCTCCCTGTTAAGAATTGGCACCTTTGGGGAGCGGGTACCCGCTCCCACTTCCGCTGCGATCACCTTTATTTATGTGTGTATTTGCGTGCATTGCACATTCACACATATGCGCACGCACAATATATTCTTAAGGAAAATTCATTGATATTTATACTCATATGCACGTATTAGTGCACATTTGCGCACACGCGCATGCAGCATAAATTACTGAAATTTTTTTTTTTTAACTGAGGAATACGCAGTGCTTGTTTACGCACCTTTGTGCAAGGGAACATTGGAAATAATGAGCTGCATTTTACCTCAGTAAACAAAAAAACGCTGTACTGACCTTTTTCAAGCTGAAGTGTGCAAGAGTCGCTACGAGTACGTAATATTTGTAATCACCAAGTTGTTAAAGTATAATTAAAGGCAAAACGTTTTTTTAGGTTTTGGATAAAGCGAAGAGGAATTGGAATACTTTTCAGTTTTTACTGCTGTCTGTGCCCCCATTAGGGAGATTCACCCTCTCTATTTGTCCTGTTTACCATTACCATTAAAGTGAGAGTAAAAGAACATCCCAAATTTTGGGTTGTCCCCAGAAAAGTAATAGAATGGAAATCCACCAATTGGGACACTAGTTCAGATGGCCTGGGGGTCCCCAAGGAATTTCCTTAACCATTTGCCCTCCTGAGGATTTACCCCCCTTCCTGACCAGGCCATTTTTTGTGATACAGCGCTGTGTTACTTTGACAGTTGTGCGGTCATGCAACGCTGCTCCCAAATGAAATTTATGTCTTTTTTTGCCCACAAATGGAGCTCTCTTTTGGTGGCATTTGATCGCCTGTGCGGTTTTTTTTTTTTTGCACTATAACCAAAATAACCAAAGAGTAGCAACAGTGCTAAACTTTCTCCATTTGTAGACAATCTGTCTTACCGTGGACACATGAACATCAAGGCTTTTGGAGATACTTTTGTAACCCTTTCCAGCTTCATGCAAGTCAACAATTCTTGATCGTAGGTCTTCTGATAGCTCTTTTCTGCGAGGCATGGTTCACATCAGACAGTGCTTCTTGAAACCAGTAAACCCAAAACAGGTGTGTGTTTTTTAAGGGCAGGACAGCTGTCAGCAACACATCCAATATCATCACACTGATTGGAGTCAAGGTTGGCTCACTCCTGGCTCCAATTAGCTCTGGGAGAAGTCATTAAGCTAGGGCCTCACATACTTTTTCCTCCCTGCACTGTGAATGTTTACATGTTATGTGCAATTAAACCATGGCAACATCTAATGTTTGTGTAGTATTATGTTCAGCAGACTGTGTTCTTCTATTGTTGTGACTTAGATGACGTTCAGAGCACATTTTATGCCCAATTCATGCAAAACTCCACGTAATCTCAAGGGGTTCACATACTTTTTCTTGCAACTGTATTAGTAATGGCGGCAATTGGGGACTTATAGCGGGACTGCGGCAGGCATTCTGACACTGGGTGGGAAATGACTAACTGCCACTGACATCCCCAGTGACACTAATACAGTACTCAGTGCTAATAAAAAGCACTGACACTGTACTAATGACACTGGGCAAGAAGGGCTAACATCTGGGACGATCAAAGGGTTAACTGTGTGCTGTGTTGTGTTTTACTTGGGAAACATGCTGCTGTGTATTTCTCTGCTGTGCACGTTACTGCTGACAGAAGAGAGACCCCTGTCAGTTATATTTGGCAATCGCTGGGTGCGAAGGAGAATATCCGTCCGGCACCCGGTGATTGACATTTGTAGCCACCAATGGTGGTGCACGTAGGGCGCGCCCCCTGCCCAGAAATACAAATCACGTATGTATACACGTGACTTTGCACAACCCTACCGCCCTGTAGCAGTATTTCTGCTATAGAGCGCAGGGCAACTGGTTAAAAAGACAAAACCTTTTTTTTAGGTTTTGGATAGAGTGAAAAGGGATTAGAATACTTGTTTTTATTGCTGTCTGTGCCCCCCGTTAAGCAGATTCCCATCTCTATTTGTCCTGTTTATTATTATCATTGAAACTGAAAGTAAAAGAAAAACCTAAATTTTGTGTTGTTCCCAGAAACGTAATAGAGGGGAAATCTTCCAATAAGGACACTAGTTTTGGTGATGTAAGGGTCCCCAAGGAATTTCCTTAATTTGCTGAGGTTTCCTCTCACTTCCTGTTTGGCTATGGGACAGGAAGTGAAGGGAAGTCTTCGTAATGGGACACAGATGGCGAAAAAAAAATCTGACGGGGTTATAACCATCCCTTGCTCTATCCAAAATGGGAAAAAAAAAGTTTTGCCTGTAGTTCTACTTTAACTTTGTTTTTCTGTCCCTTGTAAAATTGGCGCATTGTGTGGTGATTCTACAAGAAATACAGCCCACGTGAAGCTAAGCAGACTCCATGAGGCCTGAGCTGTACCTGTTAGAGGCCAGTCTGCAGCAGGCTGCTCATACCGGATCTATTAATAATTACACAAACAATAGATATTCTGTTTTCATGTCAGCCAACTGTAGTAACTATGTTTAGCATCTAACCTGGAAACAGGATGGAGTGCTGAGATCAAGTTTACAATAAATATTATTAGTATATACACTGTACACAATACAGCTCTGCCATTGCTTGCT